TCCCCCTGTCCCCATGTCCCCGTGTCCCTATGGCCCCGTGTCCCCGTGTCCCCATGTCCCCGTGTCCCTATGGCCCCCTGTCCCCATGTCCCCGTGTCCCCATGTCCCCGTGTCCCGCGGCTCCAGCCCTGAGCTCCGGGGGCATCACAGAGTCGCATTCCCCCGGCGAGGGCATCGGGGGCCTGTGACAGGGCCCTTCTCGCCACGCAGAGCCCCTTGCAGCGAGGTCTTCACCCCCGGAGCATCGCGCAGGGATCAGGGGGATGATCAGGACCCACGGGTGGTGCGGCTGGAGCCCGGCACTGGCAATGGTTCCCTTCAGAAATGATGACAAACCTCAGCTTTCCCCGTTCTTCTCCCAGATAACGGCCTGTGCTCTTCACCCATAATTCAGGAGAAGATGGGAACATGCCTGGAGCTCCAGCACATTAATTATGAACCACCCCACACACACAGCCCTGCCCCGGCAGCTGCAGTTATTCCTGCCAGCACAAAATGAGCTCCGTAGAAAGCTCCCTGTGTCCTGCACAAGGGCACTGCAGGTGCTGTGTTCCCAGGGACACCCCATCCCTCCAACAGCCAGCCCCAACCCTGGGGAAAGCGACCAGGCAGTGTCTGCAGCACAGGGACCACACGGATCCTGTGCCAGGGCCCGGATTTGGCTCCTTCCTGCCTGCCTGCACCACCACACAGGGGATATCCCTGAATGCCACCCAGACACCGCCCCCAGCTCCCTCCCTGCTGACCCCACGGTGCCATGCCAAGCACCTGCCCCAGATGGCAAAGGGACACAGCCAGCAAAAAAAGAGGCAGCAATGCACTGGCGAGGACCTTGGCTTTATTCCCTTCAATGCATCATCCCCCTGCCAGCAGCTCCCACTGCCCATCTACAGAGGCATCCCAGGGCAGCTCCAGCTTGCAGAGATTCACCTCTGCAGAGATGCAGGTTCACAAAATCTTCACCCAGCCAAGGCTTCAATGTGCTTTTTTTTCATTGTTTCCCATTTCCCATGAACAAGATGCATCGCCTCCATCTCCGCTGCAGCAGGGCCAGACCCTATGGGGCTGGTGAGAAGAGGCTGAGCAGGGTCAGGAGGAGCAGGGGTGAGAGGAGCTGCTGGTGGCCCCTGTGCAGGGACCCACCGCTGGCTGTGGCCCCACGGGAGGCAAAGATCTTCCGGCTGTGGAGAGGCTGCGGTGGGCGGAAGTTGTTGATCATTTTTAGGAGCACGGATCCCTCGAGTGGGAAGTGGAGGGTGCTGACGAATGCCTTCAGCTGTGCAGGGAGAGAGGAGGGTGGGCAGCTGCACTGCCAGGCACCCCAAGCCCCTGCCCACTGCCAGCCTACCCCATACTGCCCCACTGCCAATGGCACAGGACCCATGGCACCCCGGTGCCCCACACCACCACCCCCACTGCTCTCCTGAAGCCAGAGCCATAGGTAAGCACAGAGGTCCTTACAAGGATCAGGTCTTGAGTTTTAAAGGAGCTAATTGTGTTTTGGTGCCAACAGTGAGCACTCAGAGAGTGGCTGGCCCTTGACTCCCTCAAGAAAACACATCTACTAAGATGCTTGAACAGCAGAAGAAAATCTCTTCCTTCCTTCCATCCCTTCCATCCCTTCCTTCCTTCCTTCCTTCCATCCATCCATCCATCCATCCATCCATCCATCCATCCATCCATCTCCTTGGAGTCTCTACTGAGCTTCAATGGCTTCATTCCCATTTCTCTCTCTGAATGCCAAGGCTGGGCAGGAGAACAGTACGGATGGGATTTCTCCCCATTGGCAGGTGGCCACATCTCCATTACTTAACCTTCATAAAATAAATTAATTGCCAAGTTGCCAGGAGCATTATTCTAGAGATGGCTTTCCCTGTGCTCTTGCTCAAGGGTCAGGAAGGACAAGGAGAGAGGTCACCCTGGGGATCCAGCCTTTCGGGTGCTGGCATGTGGGGCTGTACATGCCAGTACCTGCTCCCGGCCAATCTCCACTGGCTCCTCAAAAACAGTCCAGATGACGGCCTCGCTGCAGTCGGGGGTGGTGAGGGAGCCCTGGTAGCGGTAGTAGCCCGAGAGCCGGCCGGCACGCGGCAGCAGCGTGCTCAGGCGGAAGGTGGAGGCCAAATCCACGGAGTCACCTGTGGGGCAACACGGGGGCACTCAGCCTGTCCCCTGCCAGGGATGTGGTGGGGACAGCAGGGCCACCCCCATCAATTTCCCCTCAGCAGATGAACCCAGAGACTGGCAAGTTTCCCCACCCAACCCACTGGGGTGCATCCCTGCCCTCCCACAGCAGGGTCTCCCCTTTCCTGCCCTGCCCCAATGAGGAGGAGACTCACCAGCATGGGAGACATTCCTGAGCCCCGCCACCATGGTGTTGTAGTTGGTGTTAGTGGTTTCAGAGACCTGTGTACAGGGAGAACAAGTTCTTGAAGTCAGGCAGAGGTGAGCAGGGCAGAGCTGGGACATCCTGTCCTGCCAAACAACCACAGGCAGAGCCAGCCCTGTCTCATGTTGTTGCAGAGCCGTGGGGAAGGGTTCCCAGCCAGCCCTCTCTTGCACTGTCAGTGGGTCCCCCAGCCCCTCCCAGCCTTCTGCCAGCCTCCCTTCCCCTTTCCTCTCCTTCAGGACACCCACACAATGCTCGCCCAGCTGCACCAGCAGCACCGGGTTTCTAGGGGGCCCTTGTAGACCCACCTGGAAGAAGAAGCCAAGGACAGCCAGCCCATTGGGATGCCCCTTGGCCTCTGCCAGTGTCTGGTACTTGGCATTCATGTGGACGATGTGCATCTGAGGAAAGCACAGAGGAGTCAGGCGTGCACAGCTGCCCCCAGCCAACACCCTGGAAGCAGGATATCCTGCTATGGGCCCTTCCAGCCAGCTTGGGATGGCCAGACCCTGAGTCAACCTCTCCCAGTAAAGCCCTTCTGGTCCTATTGGCACTTTTGTGGGGTGGGTGCTCAGAGGATCAAAGCACCCCAATGAAGCAAGCATCCTTTGAAGGGTGTGCAAAAGGGGGCCAGCAGTCCTGGGGTTCTCGCCAGACACAGAACATAAATTCTGCTTTCCTCTGGCAGATAATGAATATTTTAGAGGTGCAGAGCCTCTTTCATCCAGAAAGATCCCAATGTGCTTGGCACAGCACCTGCTTGCTCTCACTTGCATTCACTAGCTCAGTGTGCGGTCCCAGCAGGGCACAGAGCCCCACAAACCCCACTGAGTGCCTTGGATGAAGCAGCTTGGCCCATGCACAGTAAGAAACACCTCAAGTCTCACATCATCTGCTTTTCCACCACCCAGGTGCCTGTGCAGGAGCACGGTTGAACCCCCCAGTGCAGAGCTGCTGTGCCCAGTCACCTGCTGCATGACAGCCTTGGGGTGCCCCAGCATCACCCCTTCCCACCACACCAAGGGCTTGGGCAACCCAGAACATGATGGGGGCTTTTTCTCATGTACCTCCATGGGGAGCTGGCGCCCATCGAGGGTGTGCTCAGAACCATTCCCGGCCGGGCTGCCCCAGTGGAAGTGGAGCTGGAGCGCGCGGTACCTGCCAGGGAGGCCCCCGCCGCTGATGGTGATGTGCTCAGAGGCCGACTCACTCGCCAGGTCCAGCATCACTGCAAGGGCAGCAGGACAGGGTGAGGGGAGGCTTAGGACGGGGAACAACCCTTGCACAGCTTCTTCTCCCCCAGCTTCATCCCAGCACTAACCCAGCACTTCTGCATGGGATCCTGCAGCACCCGCACCAGAGCCAAGCTCCAGTTAGGATGGTGACTGGGGATCTGGGACAGGGGAAGGTGCCCAGCTTCAGCACGCACCTGTGTGCCCGTTGTTTGTCAGCCTCCACTTGCCAGGGGGAGCCTGGTCATAACCCTCGAAGAGGATGTCCCCAAGGCCACCATCCCGCTGCAGCCGGCGCCTGTCGATGTTCACAGGGGACTGCTTGTCACCACCGCATGTGGCTTTCAGCTCCTTCCAGTGGCTGGGCCCTGCAGAGGAGGAGCAGGGGCACCATGGGCAGCCATGGAACCATCACTCCCCCCAGAGGGGGACACAAGGCCACGGGTGGCTGTGTCTCCAAGCAGCCCTGCTGTCCCTGCCAGCCCAGCCGTGCTCTCTTGCATCCCATGGGAACTGCTCTCCTGCCCGGCTAAGTTTCCTTCCTATTGATGAGCAGGGGCTTATTGCAGCCTCATCCGTAATTCAGCAGGATTTCCTCGAGGGGCTGGGGGCTATATTTAGGCTGACATCAGTGTCCACATTGACGCTGGTGAAGGGCAGGCTTTTCTTCCTGCCCGTTCCCAGGTTTTAGCATGTTTAACCTACTCACGCTGGTTCTGTCCAGCTGTGACAGATGACAGTGCAACCTAGCCACACAACTCCTCCTGGGGCAAATCCTACACGTGTTCTAGAGTGACCACACAATGTCCATCAGCAGCTCCTGGGGCAGGGGGTCACCATGGCAGGAGCTGGGTGAGGACACAGTGCTGGCAGCCAACCAAACCCACTGCAAACCCACAGGGCTGCCTGGGGGCTGTGAGCAGGGTCCCCATGGCTGCCACCACAGCCAGACCACACAACCAACCCATATATATGGCTTGTCCCCACCACCCCAGCATCATCTCTTGCAACACTCATGGCAGCCCACAGCTGTAGGATGCAGCCAGACAGCCTCCCTGCTGTCACTGCTCCAGTGTGGCTGCCACAGCACCCCACTCCTCCTCCTGGTGCAGCCCAGGATAGAGGTGTCAGCACTGGGCACCACCAGTATCTGGGCTCAGTCCCAGCCAGGGAACAGGAGCTCCCTCAGTGTTTCCACCCTGTGCTCCTGGGACATCTCCTTTCCCAGGGGAGCTCAGCACGTCCCAGCAGGCGCTGTTGGCTCTTCTCACACACACATGGACCACCTTTGCCTGCAGCCAGGGTTTGGGGAACTGTTCCCCCAGCAGTGCCCCACGGTTCAGCTCTGACGTTTACCTTCCTCTTGGGCAGACAAAACCACAGACTTGTGGGCTGTATCCAATCTCCTGCCCCCTTAGGCTCAGCCCTTATCCTTTATGTTCTCCTCTCATTACTTCAGGCATCTTTTTGCCTGGAAGCCCTGGGAGCTGCAGCCTGTGCCATCATCCCACCGGCTTCCTGGCTCGGTGTAACTGGGTGGCCCCACAGATCACCAGGTGCCTTCAGTAAGGGGCCATTCCACATGGCTTTGCTGCAGGCACACAGCCGGCTCCACGCTGCTCCAGCCGCTTCCCACCGGCCCCTCTGCCCTGCCAAAACCTGCCCTCGCTGCCAGCCCGATGTTAAACCGGGTAAGACCGAGCCTCGCTCCGACAGGGATGAGCGGAGCCCAGCAATCCACACTCACAAGCCACAGGGCATGTAAACCCAAGAGCTATAAAACAGTTGGGCCGTAACAGCTGATTAAATGCTTGATGATCTTTAATTAACCTTTTACAAGCTATTTGTAATTTGTATTTGTGTGTTTTGAGACAAAGTGCCCCCAGCCATGCTTCCCTCCCCATCCAGGCAGGGCTGCTGCCTGCTCAAAGGAGTTGGCCCTCCTCAGTCAGGCCCCTGGACCCCCAGTCCCCCCTGCTGCCTGGACTGCACTGGGTTTTTAATAGAGTATTTTAAAACCTGGATTTGTTTCAGACAGAAGAAGGGGAATGCTGGTGGTGTCCCAGGAGCACCCAGACCTGGCTGAGGTGAGGGGTGGGGCTGAGTTGCTCCAAGGGGCTCAGGGGTTTGTCAAGTCTCGACAGCAACACCCCCAAAAGTGAGGCTCCTCAAACCATTCCCACGTTTGTGTGACACGGGGGGATTTGCCCTTTTCCACGTCACGCTCCCCACTGGGCCTTGCTGCTGCTGCCCAGGGTGCTCTCAGCTGGGAGCTGTGGGGAGACACGAGGCTCTGGGCCCTGCACAGCCCCAGCACACCCACACTTGGCACCACTCACCGCACTGGGGGTCCTGGGAGTCGTAACACCACTGCCCTGCGGGAGAAAGGAGAGCTCAGGGCGGGTGATGAAGACAGACGCCCTTCCCCAAACCCACCCACAGCCGTGCCCCACCCCCTGACAGGGAGGACATCCCCCAGTGCAGCCCGGGGTCCCGACAACACTTGTGTTCATCACGGTTATTTTTGGCGTTAGTGTTTTCACACCCTCCCTGCCTCCCCCAGACGCTTCACAGGGAAACCTCCCTCAGTATCGCTGCTCCAAGGCAGCCAAACCTCGCTGCTCACTGTGCGCCTTCCCCAACTCTTGTGGGGCCACCCCCCCTTACCCGTCCTGGGGAGCCAAGGGGCCCAGGGGAGTGGGGCCCGAGGGGAGCTGCTGCAGCCCTGCCATCTGTCCCCCTGTCCTTCTGTCCCGCTGTCCCTCTGTCCCCCTGTCCCCCTGTCCCCCTGTCCCCCTGTCCCGCTGTCCCGCTGTCCCGCTGTCCCCGCGGCTGGGCTGGCAGCGGCAGCAGG